GGGATCGGGCAGTGTTTCGTTCTGCTGTGCATGGGGTCGCTATGAGTCGGAAACGACTCGACGGCACTTAACAACAACAACACATATCCGTGTATGTACATTTGTATATTTGTTGTTAGCTGCCGTGGAGTCACCCTCAGGTCCCGGTGACCCCACACACCCAGAGTGAATCACCACCCAGTTCTGTGCCAACTCTGTGATTGGCTGAGGATCAGCTCCTTGGAGTCTACAGCATTCTCATTGGCTGATTTTCAGAAGCAGAGCTCCAGGCCTCTCCTAGTTTGTCTGAGTCCGGAGGTGACGCTGACACCTGTTGAGCATCCCAGCAACATGAAGTGTCCACCGACAGGCAGGTGGCAGCTGTGTAGGAGCCCTGACCAGAAGTGGAGGCAGGTCGCGCGTGGGACGCAGGGCTCTACCACTGAGCTCCTGCTGCCTCCTGGACACAGAAGATCTCCGTGATTGAAATCCCAGAAGTCGGGTGAAATGGAAAATGGCTAGAGGGTAAAACAGGAAGCTCACAGAGCACAGTTGACATGAGATGGCTTTCCAGTCTGGGCAAAGGAGTGAAAGAGGACAAAGAAGAGATCGGTCCCCATTCCTGCAGCTTGGCAGCAATTCAGAACATCGGGACCACCAGCACCAGGTGGGCAGGACCTGGGAGCTCGGCACTCCTGCAGGCAGGTGGCGTGGGAGCGGCCACCTGTCCACACGCAGGGGACGCGCTGGCAGCTCTGGACAGTCCTCAGAATCACGAGTGCCCCAGATGTCTGTTAGTGGGATGAGTGGCGGCATGAGCCGCAACACAGCCCATAGAGAAGGTCCACCTCGTGCTGATGGGAGCTGAGCTTGTGCCTCTGGAAGAGCCCTGCGTGCCGCCTTCAGTGAGCAAAGCACGCTCCCATGTGCAATTGTCAGGACTTGATATGGCTCCAGAAAGAGGCCTGCAGGGAGGGGCAGAGCCCCAGCGTAGCCACTGCAGGGGCCGCAGAGGGGCACCCACGCTCTGTCCACTTCTTAGAGCTGTCACACCTCTGATGTGTTTCATAGTTGAAGTGACTTCCCAGACCACTTTGCTTTCTGTGTGACATGAGCCATATCCTCTGCCGGAGGAGGGGGCGTCCTCAGTTTACCATTTTCCTATCAGGCATAGGAGAGGCCTGAGTGGGGATTGCAGACCCCAGCCCCATGTGGCCCACTCCCACCCCTCCCCTGCGTGTCCCTGTCCCCCTGCTCCGCCTCTCTCTGCACAATGGAGCCTGTGCCGTGCTGTCCTGTGGTCGTTCCTCACCTGGGATCAGGCCCTTCCCACTGTGACCTGGACCCGACACAGGACCCCAGAGCCCAGCCTGCCCCCCCGGGCCTGCATTTTTGGGGAGAAGTGACCAGGCACTCCCTCCAGAGTTTCTCTAGGCTGGAAACCATTGGGGTACTTTGGTGAGCACAAGCACACATGCTCACTTGCATGCATACACATGTATCATGCCCACGGCACACATGATACACGTTTGCACACACACACCCACTGCACACATGCACGTGCAGTCCACATGTTCGCACACATGCATCATGCCCACGGCACACACGCGTGTTCAGTCCACATGTTTTCACATGCCTGTAACACACCCACCACACACACATGCATCACACCCACTGCACACATACACAGTCCTCATGTCCTCACACATATACCATGCCCATGGCATACTTGCACACAGTCCACATGTTTGCATGCATGCACTTGACACCCATGCACACACACCCATGCACCACACCCATAATATACATGTATATGTATACCTGTGTGTGCACACACACACATTCACACATGAATGTAAACACGCACACACACGCTTCTCGTCCCAGACCTGAGCTGGAACTGCGGTGCCTGCTGAAAGAAGCCCTACCCTGGAGACACGAGGGCCGCTTAGGGAAGGGGGGTGGGAAGAGCAGCAGCCCGGATGCCCAGCCTCGGGGTACCTGAGAGCCCCTGCGCCTGCCCAGTGAAGGCGTTGGCTGAGCTGGGACCTCTGTACCGAGCGCATCTCTGCCGGCTCCAGTGCACTGACTTTCTGCTTCCTTCCCCGACTGCGCTTCGCTGGACGCGGCCCAGGGGAGTTCTCAGGTGTGTATCCCCCTCGTAGCATCCCGGCTCTCGGTCCAGATGGGGGCCACACTCCCCTGCTGCTGTCCAGTCCCCGCTGGCTGCACAGCCTGGCCCCTCCCGGCTGCCCAGCGGCCTGCCCCTGCCCAGCTCTTGCCCGGGGAGCTCCTGCTGGCCTGCTCCTCTACCCAGGAGGAGCCTCCACGTCTGCGGGCCGCTTGCTGCTGGCTTTCAAATCCAAGCCCAGAAGGCCCCAGCTGACTGGACAGTCGCAGGAGGCCCCCTGTGCCCACTCTAGGGGTGCCCCAGGAGTTGGGTGGGGGTTCCCACCTCACACAGCTTAGCATACCTCCCTCACAGGGGCAGACAGAGCCGGCCTGGCCCTGCTTCACTGCCCCAGCCAGCCAGGTGCGGGCACAGCTACTCCGGCGATGCCTGGCTTCAGCCCCTTCCTGGGGTCAACCACGTGCCCCAGCTTGCCCTGAGCGGGCACACACCCTGCCCCAAGCCCAGGTGCAGCCCCAGAGGAGGCTTTTCCTGAAGGAGTGGCCGGCCGTGTCCTGTCTGCTGCGCCACCCAGCCCCGCCTGCACCCGCCCCTAACGCAGCACGCGTCGCCGGGAAAGAGCGCCCCCTGCTGTTGGCCACGGCCATAACTCGCTTGTCTTCTCTCCCTCGTCTCTCGCTCCGCCCCCGCCCTGTTTGCCCGTCTCCCGCGGCACTGGGACGGCTCCCATAGTGCGCGATGATTTTTTTGGTAAGGCGAAGGCCGAATTTCCTTGTGCCCCCCCATCTCGTCATGCTTCACGTGCTTTGCTCTGCATGGTGGCGGCGGCGGCGGCGGGGTCAGCGCTCCCTGGGGGGGTTGGGCCGCAGGTCCTGTAGGAGCCAGGGGGCTAAGGTGCTTCAAGGAGAGAAGGCAGCCCCCCAGCCCCTCCGAGGCCCCGTGAGCTCAATGCGGGGTGCCTCGCCCCCTCGGCCTGCCAGCGTGAGCCTCGCGCTGCTGTGCCCCGGGAGAGGGGGCGGCGGGAGGGCGAGAGGGGCCTGAAACCCAGCCCGCAGTGTGCTCCGCGGGGCATTACGAGTGGAGGCTAGAGAGGACTGGAGGCACAGGCGTGAACTGACCCGTCAAAGACTTCCACCGGCAGCCCCTGTGCGGCGGCGCCAGGGGGCGCTGTTCTCACCCCGAACTGCGCCTCCTGCTGACGAGGCCCGCCTCCGGGCAGGCGGAGCCCCGGGCCAGGGGGGCTGCTGCCATTGGTCCATCCATCTCCTGGGCGGGGCTTTCTCTGAGTTCTGTGCTGTCTCCTGTCACCTTCCTCGGAGGGGGCTCTGAAATCGTCCCCCTAGCAATGGCCTTAGGAACCACAGAGCTGGGGGGTGATGATTGGTGGTAGGCTCCGGCGCAGGCGCACTGACAGCAGCGACAGGCGCCCCGAGGTGCCTCCCCGCCGCCTCACAGGTCCTGCTGGCGAGGCTGCCGGGGTCAGGGAGCGCCTCTCTCTGCCCTGCGTGCGCCTTCCGGAGTCCCGGCCTGCCACCACGATGGCTGCTCCGGGCCGCCGCGGCGCAGGGTCCGCCTGTGCAGGGCTCGCGCAGACCCGCACCTTCTGTTCCAGGCATGGGCAAGGAGGTGGGCAATCTGCTGCTGGAGAACTCGCAGCTGCTGGAGACCAAGTACGAGCCGCCCCGCGACCCGGCGCTCCCCACCGGGCCCGCCCCGACGGGGAGCTCTCCTGAGGGTGGCCTGGCCTGGGAGGGTCTGGGACCCTCAGCTTAGCGTCCCCTGGGGCCATCTGGCACTAAGCTGTACTTGTCCCTGTGGCGCCGCACTCAGCTTCAGCCAGGTCCTTGTCCCAACCGGGGCTGTGGCCTCGCAGACTCCGTAGGGGGGGGGCTCTTGCTGAAGGCCCCTCCCTGTTGGGTCTTGCCCTCCAAGGAACGCGCTGAACGTGGTGAAAAATGACCTCATCGCCAAGGTCGACCAGCTGTCCGGGGAGCAAGAGGTGCTCAAGGGGGAGCTAGAGGCCGCCCGGCAGGCCAAGAGCAAGCTGGAGACGCGCATCAGAGAGCTGGAGGAGGAGCTGCGGCGGTGAGAGTCGCTAATGTGGCCCCTGCACCACTCGGGTGTGGTGTCAGCCCTTCACCCGACCCCTTCCCACTCTCCTGTCTCCCTCTGGGCTGGCTGTAGAGGGCATCTCCATTCCTGCGGATCCCCCGTGCTGTGCTCCCGCTCCGGGGAGTTCCCTCCAGGGGGTGCTCTGGGGCCCCTGCTCTCCCAAGGCTGTCCCAGGCTCAGGTCAGCCCTGTTTCCTCCGGGCTGGGAGCTCTGCTCCACCCGAGCAGCCCACTTCCTTCCTTCCTGGGAAGCGGGGCCATGAGGGCGCGTCCCGGGTTTTCCCGAATGGGAATCAGCCCCACCTGGGGACGGGCCTGCACCTGACCACCTGGTTTGAGCCACAGGACCTACATCTGGGTTTCAGAGGACAAAGGGGCAGGGACAGCCCAGGCCCCCCCCCCCATACACAGGGTCCCCTGCTCGTCTGCAGAGTGAAGTCTGAGGCCATCACTGCTCGGCGTGAGCCCAAAGAAGAGACAGAGGATGTCAGCAGCTGCCTCTGTACAGAACTGGTACATCCCACTGCTCCCTCTCCGATACTACCTGCACCCCCACCCCGAGCCAGTCAGAACCACCCCCTTGGGGAGTCTCAGATTCCGGAGAGTTCTCAAAACACTGTCCGGTCCAAAGATGAGGCTGGGTCCCCACGGCCACCAGGCCCTAGTGGTCACATCTCCTGTCTCTGGACCCACTTGCCCAACACCCTGGCTCCCTGAGTGTGAGCCCACCTCTGAGCCTCCAACCTCAGGACGGTTCTGGGGAAAGCTGGGCTGCATGAGCAGCCGGCCACCCCTCTGCCTCCTGGGGCTCTGTCCTTTGAACGTCCTGCTCAGAAGGAGGGCCTGCTGCCCCTGCAGACCCCGAGGTGGAGGGCGGGTGGTACAGCTTGCTGACGGGAGGGCAGCCCTCCCTCGAACTTCTCCCTTGGGGCGGCCCACCTTGTCTCCCTTCACCCGAGGCTCTACAGCGTCCAGGGCCCTGTGCTCGGAAAAGCCCCAGGGCGCCCACGCTGCGGTGCTGGGGAGGCTGTCCTGGGGGCCCCTGGCTGTGCGCTGGCCCCTAGGCCGCCCGCCAAGCCCCGGCCGCCGCCTCTGCAGGACAACATCCCCATGGCCCAGCGGCGCCGCTTCACGCGGGTGGAGATGGCCCGCGTGCTCATGGAGCGCAACCAGTACAAGGAGAGACTGATGGAGCTGCAGGAGGCCGTGAGGTGGACGGAGATGATCAGGTGCCGGGGCCGCGGAGCCTCCCCGGGAGCGGGGCGCTCGCCCGCTTCCTCAGGGGGGCCGTCGCGAGCCACTGTCCCTGTGCCCCTCCTGTAGGGCGTCCCGGGAGCACCCGTCGGTGCAGGAGAAGAAGAAGTCCACCATCTGGCAGTTGTGAGCTGGGGGCGGTGCGGCCAGGCGGGCAGGCTGGGGGTGCCTGGGGCCGGCGCTCACGCCCCGCGCTCCGCCTGCAGCTTCAGCCGGCTCTTCAGCTCGTCGTCCAGCCCGCCGCCCGCCAAGCGCGCCTACCCGTCGGTGAACATCCACTACAGGTCGCCCACCGCGGCGGGCTTCAGCCAGCGCCGCGGCCACGCCGTGTGTCACATGGCCGCCGGCAGCCGCCCGCTGGAGTTCTTCCCCGACGAGTGAGCGCCCCACCCGGTCCTGCAGCCCTCGCGCGCCGCAGGGACGAACTCGCCTGTGCGAGGGGCTTCTTCCTGGGGAGTGCCTTTCTGGGGAATTTGGGGTTTTCCTGGGTTTCAAAGCCAAGTTTAGGGGTCGCGGCAGCATGGGGCCCAGGCCCGAACCCCTCAGCTGTAGTGGGGAGCCACCGCGGGCTGCAGTCAGAAGGGTTTCCGCAGCCGAGGGGGGCGCAGGGATCGCGGACCGTACCTGAGACCACCCTGTCCGTGGCGCTCAGCGACTGTACGTCATCGGCGCGGCGGGAGCAGAAGCGTGAGCAGTACCGCCAGGTGCGGGAGCACGTGCGCAACGACGACGGGCGTCTGCAGGCCTGCGGCTGGAGCCTGCCAGCCAAGTACAGGCAGGTGAGGGCGGGGCGGGGG